AAAAAATTTAGGAAAACCACGAAAAAAAAAAGATAAAAATAAACAAACAGGCCCAAAAAATTAAACGAAGGGAAAAGCGGAACGAAAGGCCTGACAAGTTCGGCCGTGAAACCCTTCCTCACTTTTAGGCATCCGCCCAAATCGAAAGGTCTCCCGGCCAGATATAATATTTTAAATTTAATATCTACCCAAATACTCAAAAAATTATATTTGATATTTAATTCATTAGATGCCAAATAGCTTGTTAGTATACATTTATGTATTTAACTTTAAAAAAAAATAATATAAGATGTTATTATCATGTTTGTTATATACGTGATTTAAAAACTTATAAGAGTTATTATTTTGGGGTTAATGTTTATTTATTTTATTTTTAAAAATTATTATTATATAAATATTTTAAATATATATAATTTTAATTATATAAATATACATAATAAAATAAATAAATAAATAAAATAATTTTAAAATTTTATATTTATTACTTAATTTAATATTTTATAAATATACTATTTTTATTCCTATTTTTATAACTCATCTATAATATTTACCTAAACAAATAAAATACTCGGAGACAACGGGTGAACCCGTGTCCAGTACTTACCCCTAGTGTCCGCTTTCTTCTATCCTCGTTATTGATGCGCCCAAAACAAAATCTGTACTGAAGCCTGAAGGCTGTGACGAAAGTGAGTGCCGGAAATAATGGAGTCGATGAACTCCCGGCTGCCTTCCAAACGCTTCGTGTTCGACCGGCGTTACGGTTGGGTGTAAGAATTTCACATCTTCTTTTTGTGTATATGTTTTCATCTAATCAACTAAATTTTGGGTTAATTTTTTTTCTTAATTGTTACTTTTCAATAATGCAGGCTTGATGAATGGAAAGACCCATCTGAAGCAGCTCTTGAAGGTGGTCGAGGAATGTAAGTAGCTTCATATTCTTCCAATCCGTTTGGTTGGTGAGAAAAATTGAATCCTTGAATTCATTTTCTTTCATTGATTAAGTTGTTTGTTCTTTTGCCTTGCTTAAATTTGGGTAGGTTTTGCATCGTGCCCCTTGCAAAAGCTTTTTTCAGGACGGCTTCACAGTCGGTATATTGCAAATTTATATTTATTTTAATTCCTCATTTGTTTTCAAGTTGTATTTCTCTGCCTTTTCTATTGATGTTATCTTTTTTTTTTCTTCTTTTTATTGTTATTAAAATTTTAAATTGTGGAATTAATAGGCTACGATTAAAACATTTTCAGTGTTAATGTTGGATATTACCGTTTTTTTTTTAAAGTATGATGTAAAAAAAAAAGATTTTGTCTTTCAGTGTTAATGATAAACACTTGTTGTTTGCAGCAGTGAATTGGTATTCAGATTGGAAAAGAATGGTTTAAAAGAGATTGATAACTAGTGGGGAAACATTAAATCTGTGTCTTCATTCTATAGATAGGGGATGGATTCAGAAGACTGCATGTTGCTTTTTGGCCTTAGTGTCAAGAAACAATATTCTGTTTTGATCACCTTAACTATATAATGTTTTAATTATTGGGAATTAGGTTGGGAGTTTATTGAAGTTACTTTGAGGATGAAGAAGAGAAATTACAGGTTCTACCAAAAAAAAAAAAAGAGAAATTACAGGAAACAAGAAATAAAGAGAAATGCTAGTTTAACCTTCCACAAAAGAAAAAGAATTGGCTGTGTGGGTTTTATTAAGTTATTCGAAATTTGCATTTTACTACTGCTTAAAGATAGTAAAGGTAAGAAAGTTATCATGAATGACTGCCAGCTTATTTTAGGTGAATGACTGAGATTCGGCATGGAAAGAACTTTGCAGTTTGGGAGTGAGGCTGGAAAGAGGAATAATGGTGAGGAAGAAAATTTTAAAATACGAGTTTAGGTTGTTCAGCAATTAAGTCTCGACATAAATGCAATGATGATCAGGTTAAACTTTTCCTCTTATCATTGTTCTAGAACTTGTGCATGTTTAAAAGGTTCATGTCACCTGGTTTTATGTTGTGGGCAATGGAGGTCAGGTAGTGTAGACAATTGATTTTCTGTTATTTTCCTTCTTAGCAATGGTATATGAGATTTATTGATCAATGTCAGTGTACAACGTGCCATCTCATAACTTGCTGGGATAGTTTTCTTTTTGCTACTCATTCTGTTTACAGTTTACAGTTTACATTTCTTTTAGAAAAGTTATAAATGTTTGGGCTTGGGGGGGGGGGGGGGGGTGGTTTGTGGGTGTGGGGTTGCTTCTGAACATGGTGGGGGAAGAATGCACTCTTCCATCTGGCCAAGAAGCTGAATACATGTTTAAAGTTTTACTTATTTCTACCATACTGACAATACTTATTTCATTTTAAGTCTACTTGAAATCTTGATGTGCAAACCGAACAAATACCTGTTGAACTAATGCTTTTTGTTTGAAGAACATTGTGGTGCAAAAGCATATTAACAATAGCATCATATAAAATCTCTTCATTTATTTCTAATTGGGTATTGGGACCATTATGAAGATAGGGTTTCTTCACCAATAAAGAAATAACATCATATCTTTGCTCTACTCATGCTTCTCTTCCCTCATGTTGCAGGTCAATTTTGTAGCTACCTCTGCTGTGAAAGCACTTGAAAGGCCAGAACTGCTCTCCCCCAACGAATTGCACGCTAGGTTTAGAGATCAGCTTAACAAATTTAAGTCTTCCATAGAGAAAACTGAATTCTGCAGCCTTGGCACCAAGGGGAAATCCGTGTTGCCTGCTACCAGCAGCTCTTCAAATCTACAAACAGACAATACCAAAGTTGCTTAGTTATTGTAGTTACTTTTCTTTCACTCAATTCTTTCTCCTGAGGCCAAAAATTAAAAAAAAAAAAAATGAACTTTTCTCACAATTATTTTACAATCACTGTTTCACATTTTTCTGTTGTACACATAAAAATAAGATGACATTTTTACAATTTCTAATGGGTTCTTAACCTTTGTTCCTTTCATCTTGAAAGCGTTAGTGAAGTTTTGGTAAAAGTATATAGTAAGCAGATGTTGTTTAACAATACGGCCAATTGGTGTAGAATTAGCTTGCACTGGGGGATTTCTATCTTTATGAGGAAATTAAGGAAAAGAAAATGAATAAATGGTCCTAGTCTAACTAAATTTAAGTGATTCATTTTTTAGCGACGTGGGGTTTTCTGATACAGAGAGTATGCTAAACGGCTGGACAATAATGTCCCAAACCATGAAACAACTCTCTATTGAGAAGAAATGGTTTTCCTAACCCAGCATGATCTTATTAATAATGAAATTTGGCTCCTTATTTTACCAAAATTCATTTATAGTTCTTTTCTTCAATCCAAACACACTGTAAAATTAGTCAATCTAGGAAACAGTTTTCTCTGTATATTTTTGTTTTTTTGTTTTTTGTTTTTTTTTTTTTGTTTCTTTTTGTTTTTAATGTTTTGTTATTCAAATTTAAGATTCAAGTATTTAGCATAGCACTTAAAAGAATTACTCAATTTTATAAATCTCTAAGGATTAAATTAAATTAGATACACTATATGAATATTATTTTATAAATCATGTTTAAGATTTAAATTTTGAAACAAACATCAAGTGTTGGACTATGGCGTATTTGGAATTGCTACAAGTCTTGTAATTGTTATTGTAAATGTCGTTAAAATATATTTTTATATTTAATTATTTATTTTTTAAAAGTATTATAAAATCTAACTTAACAAAACAAAAGATGGGAATTTTTTATAAAAGCTATAATTGAACATAACAATGAAAAAAGTAGTTTTTAATGCAAATAAATCAATAAAAAAATTATTTTTTGATACTCATTTAAAAGAAGGTTTAACATTGGTACTTTTTGACCCACGAGATGAGACTCTGGGGATTTTTTTGACTCTTTACCAAAAATTCTAGAGGGAATCCCAGCATTCCCTCGTGAAGATCCATTACCAATCCTATCCATGAATGTATAGCTAAAAACCACCTCAAAAAATTTTTTAAATTTTATATACAAAATTATTGACTTCCTATAATTTTTTTAAAAAATAATTTAAAAAATTATTAAATATATATACATTTAAAAATATTATAAAATTATAAAAAATTCTTAACCACAATTTTAAATGTACCCTATGTCTACACGTAGGGTTTGAGTTTAAAATCACAGTGGGAAAAAAGTTCACCTGAAGTCCCTTGATTAAACAAACCATAAAAAGAAAAAAAAGAAAAAAAAAGTAAAAATAAAATAAAATAAAATCTTATTCAAACGAATAGCCACAATTTTTTTTTCACAAAAATAATAATTAATAAATTAATTTTATTAATTACTAACAACTAAAAATTTAATTTTTAGATATGATAAACACCTCACCTACCTTGATAAAACGCGTGGTACGTCGGGCTGCTTGCTGGAGTTGGAATAGCCACAACTTGATCGTTGATCACCAGTAGATTCTGACTCTTCTAAGTCCTAAAGCCAAGCCCCAAAATGCTACACCCAGTAAAACACATGGCATTCTCTCCACAACATCACCACCAGCTTCGTCCTCAGCCTCATCATCCTCACCCTCTTCTTATCCGACACCCTCCTCATTCCTTATAATGCGCACCCTCATCTTACCTCACCCACCATGCTTCTCTTCTTCCTCCTCTCTCCCTCTCTCACCTCCTTGCAATTCTTTCCTCTACAGTTTCAGACCCAACAAGCGCTTCCACTTTCTCAAGCCTTGTTCGTCCCTCAAGCAGACCAAGAAGCAGCAGTCCCTTCAGAAGACCCCCACCAGCGCACCGCAGAGCCTCCGGTGGTTCTTGAACCCCAAAGGTGGTGATGAGGATGAGAAGCTCAAGGGAGATGGACCAGATGGTGATGGGGAAATAGGTCTGGAGGGGGACACTGCGGTTAAAGGTACCATTTTGGCTGGAGTTTTGTTGGTTGGGGTAGTTGGCGGGTTTGCTACTGTTGGGTATCTTTACAAGGACCAGATCAATGCTTTCTTGAACCAGTTTTCAACATTCATTGAAGGTATTTTTTTTCCCCAAGAATTTCAGACCCTTTCTGATGTTGTGAATTTGTCCCGGATTTCGTCGATTCGTCTTGGAATTTGCTATTGGTTATGGTTCTTTTTATCAATGTTAGCTTCGGTCTGTACATGCTGATTGATGTTTGGGATTTGGATTTTTTTCTCAATGTTAAGTTAATGTGTTGCGGAACGAGTAAGACCTGTTTTAGGTTTCATCTAAATTTGGCACGCATGCTTACCGATAAGCATTAGAATTTTTCTGCTCAAGGCTTCAATTTCTGTAGAGAAATGCAGATGAGACGATGAATGATTAAAGGTTTTTATGGATCACCGTGTACTTGCAGAGAACTAATCTAGAAAGTTATATTTTGCACGATGTTCCCAACAAAGAAGCTTTTAAATTTAAAGCACAATATGCTAAAGTACAACAGTCCAGACTCTTGACATGGCTTCCATGCAAAGTGGGGAAAATTTTTATGCTGATATATGGTTTTATGGAGGTCCTATAAGTTTGGTTCCGTTTGGCCTTTTCTGGAAGTATTTTCAGAAAGAGTTGTTATTTTATGTTGGTGGAAATGTGTAATGAGCTTCTGAATTCCAATTTCTTTTCTTTCCACCACGGATTCACTTTGTTAATGCAATGCTGTACTTGAATGAACAGGATATGGGCCTGCTGGATATGCATTGTTTGTGGCAGTTTATGCTGGATTAGAAGTAAGCATCTATCCCCTTTTATTAGCTTGCTGTCTTGTTTCTTTCAGTCATTTTTGCCCCTTTCAGCTCTTGGTTTGTGTTTTGTAGCTTTGTACTAACCAAAGGGAGTGTTAACCCCGTGGTATTATTACCTCCAAAAAATCATCCTATTAGTTCAATATACATGACTACCTTTTTTCTTCTCCCATGCTTTTGGTTATTAGCCCCATGGGTTTTTGTCCTCAACTTCCACGTCTTCATTCTTTGAAACAATCTAAAATTTTCATGGGTTTCATGATATCATTGTATATTAACTATTCTTTCAAAATCTAAGAGTGAATATTGTGTTTGTAGGTCCTTGCCATTCCTGCCATTCCGTTGACCATGTCAGCTGGTCTTCTTTTTGGCTCTGTCATTGGCACCATCATTGTCTCTATTAGTGGGACGGTGAGTTTCTTGTTTTCTTACACGATAAAAAGGTAGAATGGTAGAATGATAATCATTGAGGTACTTAAATTTGACTTCAAATAACTTGTAAACATTTTTCAGGTGGCAGCAAGTGTTGCCTTTCTGATTGCTAGATATTTTGCTCGTGAGCGTATTCTTAAACTGGTTGAGGGAAACAAAAAATTTCTTGCAATTGACAGAGCAATTGGGGAAAATGGCTTCAGAGTTGTCACCCTTCTTCGTTTGAGTCCTTTGCTTCCATTTTCCCTTGGAAATTATTTATATGGATTGACATCTGTAAAGTTTGTGCCATATGTGTTGGGAAGGTATATTTCTTGTTTATCCAGATAACATGGCCTACTTTCAACATGAAGTGTAATTAACTGTATTTAGTCTTTGAGATTGATTATCTGTGTGATGTTTTCTACTCTGCTGTAATACACACTTAACTGATATGGATTCTTGAAATCACATATTGTTTCTTGAAAATAATTGCTATTTGTCATATAGATTATATAACATTGGATTTAAATATCCAGTTTAGATACATTAACAACTAGCTTGAGTTTCATATCCAGCCTTTAGTTCTCTTAATGTATTTAGAATTGCATAGTTATTTGGAAAGAAGTTTCTGAAGTCTTTTGAAATATTTTGCAATATACACTTTCTGATTCAAATTTATGCAAAATAATTGTATTGCAGTTGGCTTGGGATGCTTCCAGGAACCTGGGCTTATGTGAGTGCTGGTGCGTTTGGCCGAGCAATAATTGTGAGTAGCCTTTATCTTTCCCCATTTTTCTCTTTCTTGTGTGGAATGTGGATCATCTATGTGATCAGAGAGTTCAGTTTGAACTATTTTTTTGCTCTTCTATGTTCTTCTTCCCTTCTTTTTATTTTTTTATGTCATTCTCTCCCTGAAGAACAACAATATATTTATGTCTTCACTTTATGGAAGAGTAAAGGAAGGCTGCAAGTAGGTTTGTGTGATACATACAATGAATGTCTATACAAGGATTATACTTGTTTTTAACATATGCATCTCTCTTCCCTTTTGTTTGTTTTACTTCATTCACCCTCTTGGGTTAGTTGGGTTGGGATTAAGAGAAAAGGGAAAGGGGGGGGGGGGGTGCTATTGGTTGGATTGGAATAGTGATGGCATCCAACTCCTAAACATGAAGTTGGTATCTTGCAAATTTACGGCCCTGGGATGATTCAGTCTAATAGGTTGTTACTCATCATTCAGTTTTCATGCCATTTTTCAATTTTCCCTGAGTTGTTGCTAATTAGTCAATAGTCATCCAAGTAGATAATTAACAATCATATGCCTCTTAAGTGAGCCAGTTTCTTTTGACTCTAGTTATACATCTTCTTGTTGCCTGATTGATGTGTTTTATTATTAACTAATTTAATCTTCCACCTGGTAAAATTTTCAGCAAGAAGAATCAGAGATTGCTTTGGGTGGAGGAAATAGTCAGCTATTGACATTCGGATTGGGACTGTTGGCAACTGCTTTGGCAGCAGCTTATGTGACACGACTAGCAAAGGTAAGAAGAGAACATTATAGTGTCTTTTAGGATGGTAAAATCTGCCCTAAACATCTTTGAGCCTCACTTTCGTGTCCTTTAAAAGCATGAGAGATACTTAGGGTGCTGTCCAGTGCCATATCTCCTCTTCTTATCTCCTTTTATTTTCCTCCTCAATGGTAACCATGGTGCAGGATGCTGTGAAAGATATCGAGTAGAGACAGCAGGCTAGTATTCCTTGCCGATGAAGTAGAAGATAAATGTATGGTTGGAATTGCAAAATTGACAATTGCACTACGGCATGTAGATTATATAATGTACAATACGAATTCAATCAAATAGAAAGCGGTTTTTAGCCTTGTATACAACCTTCATTCCTCAGGGGACCTTATTTCCGAAAGGACAAAAAAAAAAAAAAAAGGAGAAGGGGTCCAAAATGAAGGTATTTTAGAATACCTCTTTTAATTTTGCCATTCTTCTCTCTTTTCTCTTCCCTCTTCACCAGCCTTCGAACCCATGACCTGAGACACAAGAATGGCAGCTAAATTGCTTTACTTTGCCAACAGGATCATGAGGAAGCCGGTGCTGGTGTTTGCTTGTAAAATTAGAAAAACAGTACTAACATCCTAACCAAAGAATAAAAGGCTTACAGATTTGGACAATTAAATATAGATTTTATTTGACAATACTTTTCAATCTTTTAATTTTTAGTTTTTATATTTTTTTATTATTTTAAAAAATATAAAATGTTAATTAAAATAAATATTAAATATATTTTATATATTTTTAGAAGGTTAAAGAATTAAAAAACTTAACAACTGCAGTTGTAAGTTAGTGTTATCAAACTAAGCCTTAAGAGATTCATATTTAGAGTATGTTTGATTCAGCTTCTAAGTATTTTAATTTTTTTTGACACTATTTATATTTCATAAACTTAAATTTCTTATTAAAAACTTACATTTTTAAATTTTTTTTAATTTCAAAAAGATTTTAAATAATAAATTTTGAAAAGTTTCAAAATTTTACTTTTTGGAAACTTTTTTTATTCACTTTTAATCTTTCTAAAAGTAATTTTAAAATTTTTCCTTCAATAAAAATTTAAATTTATGAAATATGAATAATATCAAAAAAGTTAAAACACTTACAAGTTTCACTAAAACATGCTCTTAATAGTTCAAATTGCACGATTTATAAATTTATTAAAATATTCTTAAATGAGTTTATTAAAATAATTTTATCAAAAACATTTTAATAAATTTATAAAACAGATTGTACATTTAATGGACAATTTACTTGATAAAACACTTTTATTATTTTTTAATAATTAAATTAGCAAAAAAAAAAGTATTTAATCCTCTATAAAAAAAAAAAAAAAATGAAGGTATTTTAGAATACCTCTCTTTGGTCTTGTTATTATTTTCATTTGTATTCCCTCTTCACCTGCCATCGAGCTCATGACCTGAGGAATAATTATTTGGATACTTAATACTTATCCAGCAGGACCACAAGGAGGCTGGTGTTTGTTGGTCGCCTGTTAAATTTAAAAATAGTGTACATCGAATAAACATTACAGGTGACTGATTTTTACATTAATAGTGACGAAAAACTATTGCGTAATTTGGTACATTTATAATAAAAATTAGGGTTTTTTAATTATAGTATAAGGGTACCATTATTGTACCCTTTTATTATTAATATATATGGTAAAACTAAAAGTTGATATGAATTTTATTAATTATCCAATAAAAAATATCCATGAGTCATAGATATTAAAATTAATGCTTACTCTTTTTTTTTATGTAAATTAATGTATAAAAAATGTATTTAAGACTCCCTTAACTTCCATAAAAATCATTAGATGAAGGATATGTTCATTAATATTAGAGATTCTCTCTCCATCCAACCATCTCTATTTTATAAATCAAACTGCAGAACAAAAGACTCTAAATGAAAACCAATATGGAAAAAAAAATGTTTTTTTTATCATTAATTCATAAAAAAAATTTGGTAAAATTGGGAGCAGCTACATTTTTATTATAAAGTAAATGATACTTGAGTATAAGAAAGTAAGAATATTATAAGAAAAAATAAGGCGATAAGACAAAAAATGAGAAAGTATAGCAAATAAGAATGCTTAGAAGCATGTTTCTATTCTTCTATTTCACTATATTCTTCATATAAAGTTGCAAGCCTATATAAAAGGCCAAGGGTATATGAGGGTTACATTGACCATTCAATAGAATTAGCTAGGATTATAAATACTAATGATTTATTAGTCTAAGTAAAAAGAACTCGATTCTTTTTAAGTAAAATCTTAAGTTCGAGTCTTGTGAATAAAAAAACATGCGTTAAAAGAGCTTCTCTTTTTATGGTGTCCAACCTGACTCAATTTTAGATTGGTTGGAGTCCAATGTGACTTTTGGATGATAAGAGATTAGTACCAAAAAAAAAAAAAAAAAACTAGGATTATAAAGAAGGGTTTTTTTAATCACCAATTTTTTATTAGTCTAAACGGAAAGAAGTTAGTTTCCCTTAGTAAAGTCTCTAGTTTAAGTGTTATGAATGAAAAGACATTTGCTATAACAGTTTTTCTCTTATAGGGCCCAACATGATTCGACTTTAAATTAATCGAGTCCAATATAACTTTTAAATACTGATGGGTTAATAAAAAAAAAAGTAAGGGTTTTTCCAACATATGCCATACATAGGATAGGGATTAAGGACACCTTTTTGGTATTAATTATTATTGAAAAACTAAAAATTAACCTTTATTTCATCAGTTGTCAAATTAAAATGATCTACATAACATAAGTGATGAAATTAATGTCAAGTTTTATCATTTTCAATACCCAATTAATAAAAAAATGTATATTAATTACACTCTTAACTTATATATTAAGAATACAGAATAAAAAAGCCCTATAAATAAGTGGAGTTATGAATGATATTAAGTGAAATCATAAATGAAATATGCTAAAATTCTAAATGAGACTAGTGAAAGATAAAAGATGTAAGGTGGAAGATAAAAGGTAAAACATTTATTTATTTGCATAGTCTATGATAGTTTTATCGGTATTATAATAATAATAATAATAATAATAATAATTTTTTAGAAAAATTATGAAATTTAAACTATACATCACTAAATAACTTAAATTATTAAATTAAATGAGAATTAGAAATATTTTTTTATTTAACAA